ATTATGTGTATATCTAGTTGGAAAGCAGTGTTGATGATTATGAACGTTAGACCCCTGCCAATATCGTGAGTCTGCAGAATTATGGTCTACTATGAAGACTATTAGAATAATGGGTTTACACAAATATAGTCAATCGAGAAAGGTAAAGTGGAAATACGGATTAATAATAATAGTTTGCGTTTCTTGGTCGGGCTTACCAATGTAGAATTACGGTCTACTATGATATTAGTACTGCTCTAATATAAGACCTAATCCTAAAACTGCACATTTGTCATGATATAACTGCCTAATATATAAGATCTTACGTGGAAGTCACATCGTCGTCTACACCAACTCACTGTATCGTAACAATTACCAATACATAATGGAGAACAAGCTTAGGCTAGAGAAAGAATAATATATTTAAAATGAATAAAAGACAAAAGGTAACATTCCGCAGGTATCACGCCTGCATGGTCGAGCCATGTCATCCGATCAACTTCAATTAATCCAACTAATTGTTCCCGCCTTTTCCATCGTTAGGTAATTCTCCGCGTTAAATATTAAATATCTCTTTTCTGAGTAGTCTCGTGTTCAGCTTTGAGGATTGTGTGGTTATGGTCCAATGCCAATACAAGTCTTATGTATACTCGGTGTGCTTATACTAGCAAGCAGATAAGTTATCAGTTATGAGTATTTCATGTGCACGATTTCCGGGCGTTCATATGAGCGGATAGATCGAGAAATTTAACTAGCTTCTGCAAGGAGGATAGGTGTTACTGACCTACATATTCCAACCATATAAAATTCTTATTATACATGAGAAATATATTATAAGTGCAAATAACGGAAATGCACATAAAATACATTTGTCTTTACAGAAGAAACATAATCTTACTTAACGAGTGTAAAGTAGTATGCTTATTAGTTAGCTTTGTAAGTATATAAAAATGACGAAGATTTAAGTGGTTCGTCTGTGTTATAATCTCATTCTTACGGTAATGACCCAAGCTATTCCTATTGCTTAGTATTCTCGGAAACCGATTCACTCGACAAGTCCCCAAATCAGGACACGGTTGAACATGAAAGAGATTATATTACAAATAACAAGGTTAGATGGAAATAAGAAGCACAATAGGGAAAATGTCAGTATATTTATAGTTTTTACATGAGAAGATTCTAGAGTATTCTCCAACTATCGGCTGGTGCTGATTGAATAAAAATAAGCCAATCAGCGTGCACCAAAGCAGTCGTGCACTGAGCGTGCTTTAATCCAGTCTATGTCCCGCTAACAGTCTGTCCAGTAGTTTTCTAATTGCTTTTAACACTTCAGATGACAGTGAATTTGCTCAGATGTTATAAAGTCAATACAAAATCTAGACCAATGGACGATAATTACCTCACTGTCAAACATGACATCTGTCGAATTTCTTAAGACTTAACAGATCTGTCATTTTCGTTCTGGATAAAAAATTGTCTGGATGTACTATTTTATTCCAAGCATTCTCGTTTTGACTGACCTTATTTTAGTATCCTTACGAGGGGTTAGTTACGTGCCAATGCGACCTAGTTATTTCTTATGAGTCTGATGAGAGTAGGACCGGTGCTTTACTGTTGGCTTTCACCACCAATTCCATCAAGATCTATATCTTTTATGAATGATAACTATAATGAACAGCAGATGGGTTTCCAATTGTCCAGTCGTGTTGCATGTTTTAAGACGTCGCAAGTGTAATGAACGAAAAAACAAGTGCGAGCAACCAAATGTATTTGAATATGAAATTACGGAACATCTTAGTAAAATCTGAAAGCCATACTAGTAAATACTTCATTTGCAAAATGTCAATCAATCGTCTCAGACTTCATTGTTCTTTCGTTTACACATCAATTGTTCTTTGTCCTTGTTCTACTACTTTAATTTCCTTAACGTTCTGCCTCCAAGCAATTCACTTTTGATTGATGGTATACAATACTTATATTTATCGACAAGTAACACACACCACACAATCACTGACTGAAAACCTCTGATCCTTCGTCCTTAGTAAGAGGTTCTATGATGCCGAATAGCTAAATTTTCAAGTTAATTATTTGTTCTATTATCGCTTAAACATTTGCACACTTGTCATTGTTAAAAAAAGCATTAAATTAAGGATCAACTTAGCAGCATGTTTGTTGCTTTTCAAAGGTGTTTAAAGTCACAGGCTACTCCGTTTATTTTCTATATCTAATGTTATATCTACACTTTTACAAGAGACACTGCTAGTAGTATGAAGAGAAGGTTGTTAATATCACAACCATATAACCAATTTTCATAGGCTTCATTTTTCTTGGTGCCACCACATGGGCCGTTCATTTTATATCGCATACCTTCATTATATTTCTGTATTGTTACTGTTTCTTCTAATCCAGTAATGTATATTAAAAAAGAAAGATATAAATTTTACGCATATTTGAAAACATAGTACTAAGTCTCATGCCAAGTGAGCTATTCACGAGAATAATCACTAAACTATATAGTAGAAGGGATGGTTTGAAGAGAGCAACCGAATCGTGAAAAATTGTAGCATATGCAAAAGCAATGACATTATCGAACGTACCTAGTTTACATAAGTACACGTGTGGTATACTCTTTGTACATCGACTGACAATTACCTTCTCATAGTTATCTTATAATAAATTAGCCGTGTTACCGATGAGCAAATGTGGGTTTGAGTTTGATACGACAGTCTTTCTATGGCTACTGCCAGACTCGAGCCCAGATAAACAAGTAGGGTTGTATACAGTGCCAGCAACCTCGTCCATGACAGCTTGGATGCAGACAGACTATTTGGATTACGCAGACAACCTAGCTCTTCCATCTTATATACACTGGGGATCACTAATGTAGATGATCTATGTCGAATGAACGGAGGCCTACTCGGGTTAGACGGGAGTGGTGTGACGAGCCAACTAACTTCGAAATCACACCTCGCAGTCAGCACCTAACCTGGATTATCCTTCCGTCGTATCATGGTGCCATGGCTGTTCTGAAGATGGTACAACACAGAGGACTTCATTAAAGAAATATATTAGTATGAGTAGACACAAGGAAGAGATTGCAACCACCATCTCATGGGCCAGACTATGGCGTGCGATTAATTAATGTGCGTTGGTTATGTGGTGGTCGGTATTCGATATCATCCTTAAATTTCGTATACAGTTCGTCTTGATAACCGTTCTATATCACGCCCCAACGGTATATTAATCAGAAGGCGAATACGAAGCGCTGATTACGGTTATTACGAGACCACACACATATATCCAAATGTACATATGCGTTAAACGAGCATAGAAGAGTTGTGCCGAAAGGCAAGCAAGCGATTGAGCGAATGAGTAAGCGAGTACAATTTTCGTGCCTTAAGGTAACACTCGTGCTATTGATAGAAGAAACCAGAGAAGTAGTGAACAGATAATCCCACACTCCACTGTGACTGCGCGCAGATTGAAATTAAGACCTATTCACTACTTCTCTGGTTTCTTATATCAATATCACGTCGGGCTCACCACTTTCGTGCCTTAAGGTAACCCTCGTGCTATTGATAGAAGAAACCAGAGAATTAGTGAGTAGGTCTTTAATTCGATCTTCGCACAGTCACAGTGGAGTGTGGGATTATCTGTTCAGACAAACAAAGGCTCTCAACATTCAATATAAGATAATAGGGAATATAACGCGTGAATAGATGCGTAGGCAGTAAGCACTATTCAAGCATACGTATTTCATACAAGCACAAAATAATAAGGGTACAATAAATTGTTATAGTGCGGATGACTTTGTCCGCTAAATACGTTAGCAAAAGGGCTTAACTGAGTTAAGCGAGAATAAACTCAATTGCACGTGACTCGCTGTAGTTATTCTTGGCCTTGGAGATGATCAATGAACTGTTAGGTATTCAGTGACCCGACAACCGGATGATCTGGTTTTGGCTCAGTAACATTTTTATGGCTGCAACACCGACAAATACGAAGCAAGACAGCCAGCACATTAGCAGCCTCTGTAGCAGTAGGCTTCAAAATGCACAAAAAATAAGGCAAGATCCTCAAATACAACACAGAGAGCAAAAATTCAATCACATTTGAAGGAGAAGCTCTGGATGAGATCGAGACTTTCGCACACACGGACAGCATCATCAGCGAACAAGATTTGTTGCAGATATGCACGAACAAATTGGCAAATCATTTCAAAAATTAACATATGGAACCCAGACTATTTGGTAGAGAACGAAGCAACTCCCAGATGAAGAGGAAATTGGGAAATGACTCATAATATATTGAAAGAAATCGTGAAATTCTATTTGGATTTAGTCAGTATAAGGGAGACATGAGAAGAATGAACAACAATTAGACAGAACTAGAAATGAAGGCTCAGGACAGAGTTCGAGAATGCCGGTCGTCGGCCAATGTTCCACTGGGAGTAACAGGCGTAAGAAATAAATGTATCTACGGAGTAATAACAAATATCTTGAGTCCTGAAGACACAACGACAAACTAAATCTCGTTAACAACAAATTAGGATTTTAACAATGTCAACATAATAATACGTTTGGATAGATGTCACAACTATTATTTCCACATGTACCTATAAAATGGACAATAGGCGTCTATGTCAAGCGTTAACTACTGATTCATCTATTCACTTTTCATTCGGTAGTAGAGTAATATTGAAAAGCTGAGTAGACTACACTTTATGACAACTGCACACATGCTGAAATATTGCTACATTCTTGATTGCTAAAAACACACACTTTCGAGTTTCTTATTCATGCCTGAGATCTGGTAATTAATTATTTTATTTTAACACATAGATATTGGTTCAAGGGGACATCAAATACATATGTGCCACACAGATATCATTTGATATGTGTGAGGGCTATGATACTGCCCGGGTGCCCAAACCGAAGCAGGTGATCTGGTAATTCCAAGACTTACTTTCTGTGACGCGTAATTGCAGATAAGTAAAAAAAGATAGTTTGTGTGATTGTATTCTCAATTATCAGTCAATGATAACTTTTAATTACAAAACTTAAACTGTGAGTTCTAGCTAATACATTTACACGTCTGAATTGGGGAAACAATCAATATTAGACGGAAAATTAAGACCTTAATTGTTGTACTAATATAAACAATAAATCACCCATCCTCATTCAATTTGCATTAACAAATTACAAGAAATAAATGAACTGGATATTATTTATTGTTGCCTTGATAAAATATACACAACAGCACTTGAAATGCGGAGTGACCTCTTTCATTGAATATGGGTAATTCAGAGGAAGTCAATAAAAATACAAAGATGGTTATCAAGACTACTTCACATCTTATAAATCAAGAGTAGTGGTGATATCTGAATGTGTGAACATGGATCAAGTTTGCGCTTGTAATTTCGGCTCTTGGCTTTGCTTTTGATCTTGTTGAAGTTTACGATTTTGAATCCTGTGAACAATTCGTTCGAGTATCCGTCGAGCATCACAATCAGGGAAATTAGACATATCATAATATTGAGGAGCGATACGCACAAGCCTACATGGGGAGAGAACATGAAATAAGGTAAGTACTGGCAACACAGTATGTAGTTTGTGAGATAATATTAGGGAATAAGAGATAGTAGAAAGTTTTTTTTTAAAGTACTCAACACGCATTATCGAGCCAACTAGATTAGTGGTCACATTGCAACTTGGTCGACAGGATTCAATCTGCAATAAGAAGGACCTGACACATATTGATATTAATCACCACCCAGCGATCAACCAATTGTGAGTACATCTCAGTCCTACAAGAGGTTAGTCGCGGGCCGGATATCCCAATGGTAACGCCTCTGACTGTGAAGCTGGGTGACAAACACCGAATTCGTCAGGGAGCATCAGTCCCCTCAAGATTACAGGTACACCTGGCTGACAGGTGCCAAATAGCACGAAATTCAGGTTCAGGGTTTCCTGTTAACAACCTCCAGTCATTATCTTATCTCGACATATAGTGCACACAATGTTAAGTCACCTAGATTAGTGGCCACATTGCAACTTGATCGATAGAATTTCATCTGGACTAAGGAGGACCTAACACACACGACATTGATCACTACCCAGTGATCAATCAGTTGTGATTTTTTGGAATCAATTGGATAATTGCAATTATAACTGAAACTACATACTATTCACTCCTTATAGCTACGCCTTAAATTAACAATCAAAATGGAATTTATTTCTATATTGACAGAATTCTTGCTGACTAATTCGATTCAACATTTCTGTAGAATATCTTACTGCACACTTAAGTATTTTAAAATAAACTCATCTGTTTCTATTCAAATTCTGAAACAAATAAAACTAATGTGCAATGGTATACTTATGAATGAATTTACATTCAAAAAATAAAGTTCATTAAAAAATCACCTTTGACCATAATAAAGTAATTTCTCATCTATTCATTTCACAGATTTTACTAAAAAAATATATATATGCACGTAAAAAACCGATAAAAGTATAACTGAAATACAGTTTTAACTAACAAAGTAATGATGTATTAAGTTGAGCACTATGTGTGCATGGATGGTAATCAGAAGAATTTTCACTAGTTGTGTATGAGCATACAGGTTAGTATGATAGTTAAAATATACACTATGTGGACTAAGAATGATTTGCATTTCACTGAGTTTTAGAAAAGTTAACTGAATATGAAAACTATAGAAATCTTACCAATCTGGTTTTACTTCAGTCACTGTACGTATGTAATTCTTTGTTGTAAGGACGAACTCATTGTACAACACCCATTCCGGTTTGTGATCCATTACTGTAGAGGGGTGAAGCTGGACCACTTGGTTGTCTTTTACAGTTAAATAATGTCCAGTACGTTCAAGATGCGCAACCTGGGGAGGGAGAATAAATAATAATTAAGTTGACTAATCTTGCTTCAGATATCCAGAGTAATAAAAAAATTTAGCGGAGTGACTACGACTATGCATATGTTTAGTTACAATCCAGGATACTATGAAGACTAATAATAAGAATACCAAAACAAAAGGGAATAATTGGATTGTAAATTGAACAGATGATACAAATGATCGAAAATAAAGTTTTGCATGTTAAATATCATTCGTTTGAATTGTAAGTACAGTATTTATTTAGTCCTGTAAGGAAATCATACTAATGTAGAACATTCCGGAAAGGATGAATAAAAAGTTCTATCTTATAATCGACAAAAATAAATTCTGTAAAAAGATATATATTAAAGTGAAACAAAGAACTTTCTCTGTTATACCTGCATGAAAAAGCCAGATACCAAAGCTTTTCGAATGTTAATGTAATAATCTCGAGAAGTGAAGTCTGTACTTGAACGACGAAGAGAAAATCGATCCATAATACGTGATAATTGTACCCGAACGTTGTCAGCAGATTTTAATGAGCGGAAATTTATGAAATTATCATAACACCACTGTGGATCTTCATGATCTATGAATGTAAAAAACAAGTTGATTTGTGTTAGAAAAATAAATCCAAACTAAAAATGAATTCTTACAATAAACATATTTTTGGAACTATATTACTAGTATCATGTAGTGCTCTCAAGCGACCAACTAAATAGAAAATCTACGGAAAGAGATTTAATCTTATCTGGAGTGAAACTATGAATTTGTATCACATTGACTTGAAATTATTCAGTCACCGGCTCGAAAAATTCACAATGGTATCTAGTTCAGTACCACATGTAGTCGAAAAACACTACAGATTACTTGTAACTACATCAATAGATTAACAGCTATGATTTTTCAGCTATTTATCATGAAACTGTCAATGTCTTACTTTTCTCATTTAGAAAGCACTTATTCCAAAACGGGTAGTGTTATAACCCAGTGAAGTATAGTTACAGGTAACTTCCGAGGACTGTCAATAGACTAATATTCAATAAATATTCTTATTGTATAATTATTCAACAATTACCTTGTGTGTATTTATATTCCCCTTATTATAAGCTCTATTTTGACCTATGATTTATTACTATACGATTTACGGTTCTTAATCTATGTTCAGTCTACTAATTATTATCTCTCGCGTTCACAGCCACTTTTTGGCTTATTTGTGTACACATGTTATTTTCTATTTTATGGTACGTTGTGGTCTGTCTGATTGGTATATAAACAGAGTATGTTTGAAATACATAATTCATATTGCGAAAGCTGGTATTGTGTTTTTTTTTGGACTCAAGCAGGCGGGCTGGAAAGACGTCGGACCAACAAGGCGCTAGACTGCTCACACCGGTTGAACGTCATTGTATAAGTCGTATTCTGATTGGTGGATAATTCGCGTGGTAGAAAGGCCAGACATCAAGGTCATAACAGGTAGTGTTTGATTTAACTCTCTACGTTATGATAATTTGTGGGGAAGATGTGCCTTAAAGGATGTCCTATAAGTGGTTCGATATTTTACTTCACATAGCTATAAAAGTTTATGGAGGAAAACCATATGAAATGACAACAATTATGTGGATAACAGAGAACCTGGTGAACAAAGTTTAAAAAATGTTCAGCGGGCAATGCATAGGTCACAACTATCGCTAAACTACACCGGTCAGCGGAAACGGGAACATTGTTACTATCATAGCGTTTAGGTAAATTTGTGATTGCCTGTTGATTTTGTTATCATTGAGAAGACAAGAAACGTGAGCCATGGACCATACAGACCTCGTATCCACTGGCATATTTGGTGATCCCAATATTTCCTTTATTTGAGGGGACTTCTGATGCTGGAGAATATCAAGTCAAGTAATAGACAAGCGTGGGAAAACTAATTTACTTGAACTATAACCACAAGACTTTGCAAATCTACCGAGACGTTAACAGCAGTGACAGTCAATTCGGGAAGGTGCGTTCACATTGAGAAGTTGCACCAGGCCCCTAGCTTTATTATAATCATACTGTTGGTGAGCAGAGCTTGGTCGGTTAATGTATTGGACATCCATCAACGGAATAGTGGGAGTGTTAATTGCTTCCAACTCTTCTGTATGCTAAACCAAATTCGTATTTCTTAGCAGTATATAGAGACGACGATGGATTCCTGTACATCTACAGATAATCACTCTAAATTTCTCCACATTTCGGTCTATGTAGACTTGACGTGGTCGATTAAGGACGGCGCCCCAGGTCCTCTATGTAGTTAGTTACACAGTCAATCAGCCATACGCAACGCCGAACAGGGCGATTCTCAGAGTAACAAAGGTAGTAAGATTATGTGGTAATACAAAAGATTAAGTAACCAAGACGCAATTTGAGAAAATATAAATTGAAGTAATTGAAAATAATTTATGAGGAATTTAGAAAATTAGGATCTAAGAGAAGACAAAGAGTGGATGCAGTTTAGCAAACCACTTGAGGCAGGTCACCTAGTCTTTGACCATAAGTTAAGATATTCGCGGACCCAAATCTAGTCTGTACCTACCTACATGGCTTGATCGAACAGTGTCTTCATGGACTGATCCCATGTTTTCGTTTGGCCGCCCCAATATTTTCCAATCAACACCAGACAACATCGCTCGTCGAGAAAGACAGTGGTTGGGGATACATAACACATGTTCCCAACCACCTCAGTCAATGAAGATTTGTTAAATTATCAAAGATTTACCATCTTTACCTAGTACTTTATCCCCAATCCCGGCATTGCTTACTCGGTAATCCCAAAATACACGAACCATGCTTAGAAGACACCTATGTAGGATGAGACCTCTCGCCAGGACTTAAATTGTCTCATTCCTAGCCCACAAGACATAGAATGCCAATAATTCCATGACAAGGACTGTTGGATTCGGGGAAGCATATTGGCCAGTGTCCCCATTTTTGTTGACTGGTTTGGTCTGATAGTCTGTCTTCACCTCTTTTGGTGTGTTTGTTTGAGGAGATCGATATCTTATAGCATATAATCTACTGATTATTAGTAATATGAAATTGTTAGTGTCAAAATGACTAATACATAATGTTAACTTGGATAAGTTTGTAAATCAACTGGAGATGTGAAACTATCAATCAAAATAAACATAGGTAATATATATGCATAAGAAATAATGTCATTACACATCAGATAAGCTCGGAATTTATTTTTCTCATTACCTAATATCTTCGATGAAGCCCACCAACTTAGCAAGGGTCATAAAATAACATTGCAGTTACATTTTTGGTGAGACTATAATTTATGGACCACCTTTGAGAGACGCTAGACTGACCGTGAGTGTCCACCTAATAACCAATACCAAATGAGAGTTATAAAAATGTGTGAGGTATTAGAATTATGATATACAGTTGATGATTAAGGTTAGGAACTAGATTTAGGATTTTCATCACGAACTAACATCAGCTATGCCTAAACTCTATTTAGCCAAATGAATTCCGAGCCGAAATCCGAGACCTGTTATCTTATACGTGATTGGTTCGCCCATAAATTATAGTCTCGCCACATTTTCAAATATAAATTGGGATATTAATTCTCAGAAATCGGGTTTGGGCAAATGGAAATTGTTTTTCTGGATGAGATGGAAAATCAGTTTCAAGAAATGGTCTTTTAGCTTACTTTGTTTGAAGGCATGATATACATTTAACATAGTCAAATGGTCACCATCAATGTGAGCAAAACGCATTTTGGCTTCGTCTGCAGTTTTCTTGGAGTCGGCAGGGCGTACGAAGCATTGAGGTACTGAAATAAATAGGAACAGTTCCATATATTATAGACATTATCAGACGAGGAATCGGTCAAATTAATGAAAAGATCTATCACATATTAGCTAAAAATAATGAAACAAAGAAACAATTGAACTTGCCTGATAACATTGAAGTGATACTCAGGATTTCATTTGAGCAGTTGTAATCGCAAGAGGCGATAACCATTTTGGCTAATTGGGGATCAAGTGGGAACTCAGCCATCATACTTCCTAGATCGGTTAGGTTACCATCATCATCAAGGGCTGCCAAATAATTCAATAACTCTAGAGCACGCATCAGAGTTTCCGGAGCTATTACATTCAACAAAAACTCATGATAAGAAAACTGGTATCGTAAAATTTTGGTGAAATGGTGATTAAATTAGTGAGAGAAAAAAGCTGAGTCTTTCTGTTTCACAACTGTTATTCATACTGAAGCTTCTAAATACTAAGTGAAAAGAGCAATTTCATTAGCGAACTCCTATAACGCGGATAAAACCGAAGATTTTGAAATGGTAAACCTTAGTACTGCAAAATCTACCTTCTAGGTATCGTAAAATATGCAGAATTTAAGACTACGTATATTACAATACTAGACTGAGAAGTGTCACTAAAAATAGATTATAGAAACGAATATTTGCAGAAATCAGAGTCCGAAGGTTCATTTAGGGTAGTGTTAATAAGTGACATTTTAAATGGTCGAATGATGTACAAGTCACAACTTTTATCCCCACTTTAATTACACTCGCAATCCTTCACTAATTACTAAAATTGATTCATTTTACCGAAATTTTGAGACAAAACATTTCCCAAAAATATTTACCGACTATATTTCTATTTGACTTAAGAAACTTCAAAAATGAAATTCATACAGATTCATTAAGGTGTAATTCAAACGCCAATATGAATGAATGTCCTGAGCAGCTTATACATAAAAAACATAGCAGTGCATGCTAATTTCCCACTAATATGAACCCAAACAAAATATTAGTTATTCATAACAAGGTTTTGAAAGATAGAAATGAAAAATGGCACATCATTCCATTACATTGACATCGGATATGTGTCAGACTCGGTCAGCCAATCATCTACAACGTATGACCAAGTACATCCCGACCGTAGCTGCTACCTTGACGCAGTGGTCGGGGTTGCATATCGTGATGACCCAACCGAGCTATATTGGCTAGAACATATGTTCCTGCAGGTTCTACCATGCCAGGCAGGTCGATTGGAGAACGGTAAGACTAAAAGCAGCTACTCAAGGTCTGAGGGCGAAGTCGTACTGCTGACTGTAGAGGGGTGTGACAGCAGTAAGGTGTTTCCCCCGAACAACCAGCATCTGCAGCGATGCTGCCTTCTCACAAGGGAGGAAGGGGTTAGAAAAGGTTGACCCTAAAAATGCCACACCTCACCTTACCTCACGGATTTCCGTCTCCGGCGGTAAGGCCCTTTGAAGAACGGAGCTAACACGTCAAAAACCTCCCACGAAAAGGCCGTGCATGACCAGCCTCAATCAGTTGTCCCTCGAGGTCTGCAGTCACGCTCTAAGTTCGTTAAGACCAACATTAATCCAAAATCCTTTTCAGGTTGCTCAAGAAATACCCTTCCACGGTGTGGGCAGTCGGGAAGTGATATCACCCCTCATACCCTTAACAGCACACGAGGCCAAGTCGGTCACATTCAAATCCCTCCTACACCTCTAAATAAATCTCTTATCTCCACGACTAACTCTTCTCACGTCCCTTTATCACCTCGCACCGCTAGGGTAAACTATTCGAGTACGCGGAACGTTATTCCTGATCTCCTGAAACCACGCTCTAAACTACACGTAGGAGCTTTCAACGTCCGAACACTGCCAAATAGGACAACAGGCTTCCTCAGCTAGGACTTTAGAATCTCGCGCCATTGGTGTATGCTGCGTCTCCGAAACGCGCATACAGGAGCCGAGTAGTGTCATTCATTTGACCTCACCATGTCAAAGTAACGAACCAACTCGATTTACGCTTCGTGTATCTGGATGTCCTGATGCTGCTTCCCGTGGCCTAGCTGGTGTAGGTATAGCATTGAGTCCTAGGGCAGAACTAGCTATCTTAGACTGGATCCATGTAGACAGTCGTTTGTGCGCTGTCCGACTAAACGGAACAATAAGGACTCGAAAAGATAGGGACACTCGTCGTTGCCTCTTCGTCGACTGCCTATTTTCCCACTGACTGCAGCTCAGATGATGTAAATAATGAGTTTTACAGAAAGCCTTCCGGCCTTCTCAGAAAAGCTAGGCGCTCTGATGTAGTAATAGTGGCTGGTGACTTTAATGCTCAAGTTGGTAAACTAAGCGAAAGGGAAAGACACCTAGGTGGATCTTATGGTGTCGTGGCTCAAAGAACAGATAATGGTGACCGTCTGTTCCTTGCAAATACTAACTTTAAGCATAAGGAAAAACATCTTTTAACATGGCGACCCCCTAATTCGTCCCAACGTTGGAGGGGCTCGATAGAAGACTGTCGCTCATTCTAGAGCACATGCTTAGATTTAGATCATGCTCTAGTACGAGCGCGTATTTGCCTGGGTCTTACTGGACGTAAGAAAGACGCTGCAAGGAAACTTCTTAGGGTCCTGTTTAGTGATAGTCAAACTAAGAGTATATTTCAGGAACAACTAGGAAAAGTTAGGCAATCATGTAGGTGATACCCACCCCGAGGCAGCATGAAATGATATCCAAAAAACTGTCGAAACAGCAGTGATATCTGCTAGTAAGGTAAACCACAAGGTTAGGGAGCAACACTGGATCTCAGCAGCATCTATCGCACTGATAGATGCTCGGAAACTCATTTCGTCTGGATCTGAGCATGACGAAGAGCGGAGTCAGCTTAAGCGCAAGCTGACAAGAAGCCTACGCAATGATCGTGAACAGTGGTGGGTAGCGAAAGCAAGAGAGATAGGAAAAGCAGAGGCAATAGGCAACAGCAGACAATTGTTCAGACTCGTTAAGGAAACCGGTATTAGTAACCCGACCAACAGCGAAACAATCTCAGAGAAAGATGGACATATTATTCATTCTCAATCCAGGAGATTGGATCGATGGGCAGAACACTTTAGGGATCAGCTCAACTGGCCTTCATCCACACTTCAGTTTCCCACGATCTCCAGTCAAGTTAATGTAGGTCCTCCGACTCTTTACGAAGTTGAAAAAGCCATAAAAAATCTGAAGCGAAGCAGAGCAGCAGGCCCTGACAGGTTCACTTCTGAGATTTTTAAGGATCGTGATCCAGTATTAGCAGTGAGATTAACTGAGGTCCTAAGTAGAATTTGGGAACTGGAAGTAATCCCATCTGACTGGTCTCAATCACTGATTGTGCCAGTCTATAAGAAAGGACAAAAGTCCTCTTGTGACAATCACAGAGGAGTCAGTTTGACAAATATAGTGTCTAAAATATTAGCTTCAATAATACTTCGACGCCTAACTAAAGCTCGTGAAGAACAGACTAGAGAAAATCAGGCTGGTTTTCGACCTGGACGTGGTTGTATAGATCAGATATTCACACTACGTCAGGTTCTAGAACAGACGCAAATTCAGACGCCCCACAATCGTAGTATTTCTCGACCTTAAGGCAGCATTCGACTCTGTTGATCATAAGGTTCTATGGCAGTGTTTGTCACTGATAGGAGTACCAAAGAAGTACATTAACCTTCTAAAGGCTTTCGACTCGAACACAACTGGTCGAGTGAGAGCTTATGGCGAACTGTCATCAGAATCGATTACCTCAAATGGTGTTTGTCAGGGCTGTCTACTCTCTCCGTTCTTGTTTAACTTTGTCACTGACATGCTTTTAGAGATGACAATTTCCTCATCTGAATTTCCAGGGCTTGAACTTCTACCAGGAGATTCACTTTTTGATCTAGAATATGCCGATGACGTAGTTTTATTAGGTGAAGACGCTGACAAAATGCAGTCTTCCGACCACTCTAAGCAACAATGCAAGCATGTTCGGGATGTGATTCTCCCCCCTCGAGATGAAAAATGTTGCTTCAGGACTGGGTTGCATCGATACCCGAACTAATGATAGGGAGTGAAGTAATTGAGCGTGTCGACCGCTTCACTTATTTGGGAAGTCTCATCAGCCCTTGTGTTCTGATGTGACGAAATCTCAGCACGGATACAGAAGGCTCGACTAGCTTTTTCCAACTTGCGTCATCTATGACGTAGGCAAGATATCCGTCTATCAACCAAAGGACGTGTTTACTGCGCAGCAGTTCGTTCCGTCCTACTTTATGGCAGTGAAACATGGCCGGTAAGAGAAGGGGATATCCCTAGGTTACTAGTATTTGATCATAGATGTCTTCGGAGCATTGCTCGTATATCCTGGGACCACCGAGTAATTAATGCAGTTGTCAGGAAACGGGTACTAGGTAAGGATGGCAAATCAATTGATGACGTAGTGAAACATCATTAGTTCATATGGCTGGGACACGTGTTACGTATGCCCAACCACCGACTGCCTCGACGTGCGATGCTCAATGGTATAGGAGTAGGTTGGAAGAAAGCTAGGGGCGGCCAGACCAAAACATGGCACAAGTCCATGAAGTCACTGGCGAGTGGATTGAGTCATGTTGGTAGGTGTAGACTACCTGGTTGGGGACCGCAAGATGATAGCAACCGATGGTTAGAGACCCTGAATGACATGGCTCCAAATCGTTTGCAATGGCGCAGGTGCATCCACTCTTTGTGTTCTCCCAAATTCTAATCTTCTGGATTCTTTATGTCCTTTTTTTCTCTTTTCAAATTCATTTCACTGTATTATACTCCTTGAATAACATCTTCAAGCCCTAATGTTTCCGATTACTGCTTATACTCTTACTACCTCTACCACTACGGGATTTGAATCGATAGCTGTATCTCTGTGCTAATGTGGTGCGGCAACTCGAACTGATGTACGTACGTACGAAGTTCTACGTTGTTACTGACTGACTGACCAAGTACATATATGCATCAGTCCAAGTTGCCATACCTCATTAGCACAAGATGAACATCAAATTCATTGAAGTAGTTACTTCAATGGTAGTAATATATAAAAGATTGCGTATAAGCATATAATAGACGAAGAAAGAATTAGTTCGTAGAAATAAAGATAAAGAGCAATTTTATTCTCATAGTTTAAGGAAAGACAAAGTGTGAATACACCTACACCAGTGTGATCGATTCTGAGCTATGTCACCCAGAGTCTCCAACCATTGGTTACAAGAGTCGTGCGGACCCCAACCAGGTAGTCTGCATCTAAAACATGGTTAAGAGTAGAAGTTCGTAACTTAAAGCACTGATGCCAAGTTTTGGTTTGGCCGCCCCTAACTGTTGGGATATTCAGAAAAATATCCCAAAAATTATCCTGTTAATTCCAATGCTATCCTTGGACTTGAAATTACATCATTTTCCTATTGGTCAATTTTTATCTCACGTGTCATTTTCCTGCTGGCCGAATATTGTACAAATGTTATTTTCTATTTAATGGTACGTTGTGGTCTCTCTGGTTGAAATATAAACCGGGTATGTTTGAAATAAATGATTCATATCGCAGAGGCTGAGACTTATGTTTTGGACTTAACTGGCTGGGCTAGGCGGAAAGCAGGACCAATCAGAACTCTAGGCTGCTCATACGCGTCAATGTTCCGATCGATAAGTCACTGCTCTCTAATCGGCGGTCACAAGTTGTAACGCTAACTTTCTTCCAACCGTCGCCAACACGAGTCAGCATTATGGTAATCGGTTTTTAGTCATGCGTAACACGTGACACAACCATCTCAGTCGATGAAGATTTACAACCTCATGAACTGATTTACCATCATTCCCTAATACCATGCGTCAAACTCCATTATTACTTACCCGGTGATCCCAGCAGATGCGAGAAGTATTTATAAGATATCTTTGATCAAATACTAGTAACTTACGAGTATCCTATATGCGTTCGACCACTTCACTCCCTATACTTAGTTCAGGTGTTGACGCAGACCAGTCCTGGAGCAACAACTTGCATTTAGAGGGAGAGAAGCGCATTCCAAGCATCCTGGTATTGTTGCTTGGTGCTACCGAAACATTGCATTTTATCAGCATCTTCACCAAACAGGACTATGTTATCTGCGTATTCTAAGTTGACAGGTAGACCTCCTGGAAGGAGATCAATTCCCGAAAATTCAGTCAAAGAGAAGTTTATTTCCAACAGTAGGTTTATAATGAAATTAAACAGAAATGGAGAAAGTGGACAGCCTTGACGGACACCACTTGACGTTGCAAAAGCAGTTGACAGTTCGCCATAAGCTCTGACTCTACTGGTAGTGTTCGAGTAAAGAGCCTTCACAAGATTTAGGTACTTCTCAGATACGCCTTTCAATGACAGACACTGCCACAGAACCTCTCGGCCTACAGAGTACAATACTGCTTTTAGGTCAATAAAAACTATCATAGTCGGGTGGCGATAAACACTTCTGTGTTCTAGAACCTGACGAATGATGAATATGTAGTTGATGCAGCCACGACCATGTCTGAAACCAACCTGATTTTCTCGTGTTTGAAGTTCAAGAGCCCTTATTAAGAGTCCGACAATTATTGAGGCCAGTATTTTAAATACTATATTAGTCAAACTAATCACTCGATAGTTATCACAGGATGATTTTGATCCTTTCTTATATATTGGGACGGTCAGTGATTGCAATCAGGCGGACGTGATTACATCCAACTCCCAGATTGTTGCTAAAATATTAGCTAACCTAAGCGCAAAATATAGACCGTCATCAGACTGTTGGATAATTCATCAATATGACTTGGAAACAATTACTTTAAAAGTTTGGTATGGACTTAGAAAAGATTAACTAAGCATGGGAATTGTAAGCACGTAGTACTAAAGAAAAATAATTAGTTTAGTGTATAACATGAAAAGTTTTATCTTTTTAGTATCGAATGTTGGGACGGTATTAATATAAAAATGGCATAAAGATTGGTAAATTGAGCCCACACAATCAAAGAATTGTTTCTACAAGAAACGGCACAAATATTAGGCAAATAGAAACAAGTTAGATAAATTCAAAAGCATTAGCAGTTCCAAAACATGAATTCACACTTAATACCCACCGGGAGGATCCATAAAGTCAAAATGCACCAAATCATCAATTCCCAGTTTTTTCAACTGGAGGACAACAGTACCCAGGTTTGATCGGAGAATTTCTGGATATGTGTTCTCTTGCATCTCATTTGTATATGCCTTTTCTGTATACAATCTAAAACATTTTCCAGGTCTTGTACGCCCGGCCCTCCCGGCACGTTGTTGTGCAGAAGCTTTGCTGATAGCAGTGACTAAGAGAGATTCAACACGAATACGAGGATTGTAGACCTTCTGCTTTGCGAAACCTGGGTCAATAACAAAAACCACTCCATCAATTGTGAGGGATGTCTCTGCAATATTTGTGGACACTACAACCTATGAGGAAGATCAACAAGGTGAATATATTAGAAACACTGGAAAGTAGTACTAGTATATCCATGTTATATCAGATAGGTTAACTATGATAAACCTATTTTTTGAATGAAAAACTGTCTACAGTCGTCTCTTACGTCGATTCAGAAAATTTAATCATTTACACTGCAGAACAATATAATTGATAAGCCCAAGGAACGATTGTATTACACTTCTGATTATTAAAAATAAACCACCCATATAACACATGTTCTTATAACACCCAGTGTCGAATCCTCAAAATATAAAACCTTAAGTTCAGTGTATAGATACCGACTCAGAAACCTTTTTTTATAAGCAATAGATATTATAAGAGGGGATTTTGTTTGAAGTGTAAAATATCTGGTTCTGTTAAGTGAAAAATCAAAACAAATTTAAGACAACAGTAAACATCATCAATAAATACATTTTCTCCGTAGTATATTAGGTATGTTGTATCTTTATACCACCTATGAGTGCAGAAACACACATTTCTAAGGAATCCAATACTGTGAAATGGCACATCGTAACAATAATTATGGTGATAATATTAGGATATGTCAGTCGTCCAAATAAGCTAATTGGATATATGTGATTGAATGGCATAAAGCTTTACTTAACCTACAACAATTTCGGTTCACTTTCAAAATAATTTATTGTTTTTTGTAGCTATCTATTAACTGTAGTAACTAGGTGAAGTCAAACTTCATACGGCAAAATTTATCGTAGATTGTATTTTATGGAATACCATTCAGATTGTTCATAGCAATCAAAGTTGCACTTTTTATGGGGTGTATGCTAAAGGTAAAAGATAAAATATACCTAATATGTTAGTCACGTAACTGAGAATAAGTTATTCTTAGGTACACAAATCACAATAATAAGGTTAAAATGCAAAATGCACTCCACCAAAAATTGTTCTAACAGGATGGCTACTGTAAGTGGAATCATCTAAAAATAAAAGAAATATATTAAAATCCTATCTGCAGAGTAGTGAACTACCACCTCATTACAGCACTTATTACATTTAACTTGATCCAAGTCGTCACTAAACTTCGTTTCTAACACCCAACTTTGGGTTAACGGTTCCGACAGGATCATGTAAAACTCACTTTATCTACTTTGGTTAGGAAAAACCTTAAACCAGAGTACACAGGTCTGTATTTAGTTCGCGAGTTACATTACTTTTTTTCAAAATAGAAGGAATAAAAGAAAAACAGAGTTAGCCTGTAATCAATACTGAAGTTTACCTAGTTTGATTCGTTTGGAGTACTATTTTTGAATTCTAATAATGACGTCTTCTAATAGTCTTTTTCACCAACCAATTGTGATTAAGTGTCACGATGGCTGATAAACACTTGGATAAGCTTCACTTGAATCGCTAGTCGCTTGATATTAGTACCTACACCAGCTAGGCCACGGGAAGCAGCATCAGGACATCCAGATACACGAAGCGTAAATCGAGTTGGTTCGTTACTTTGACATGGTGAGGTCAAATGAATGACACTACTCGGCTCCTGTATGCGCGTTTCGGAGACGCAGCATACACCAATGGCGCGAGATTCTAAAGTCCTAGCTGAGGAAGCCTGTTGTCCTATTTGGCAGTGTTCGGACGTTGAAAGCTCCTACGTGTAGTTTAGAGCGTGGTTTCAGGAGATCAGGAATAACGTTCCGCGTACTCGAATAGTTTACCCTAGCGGTGCGAGGTGATAAAGGGACGTGAGAAGAGTTAGTCGTGGAGATAAGAGATTTATTTAGAGGTGTAGGAGGGATTTGAATGTGACCGACTTGGCCTCGTGTGCTGTTAAGGGTATGAGGGGTGATATCACTTCCCGACTGCCCACACCGTGGAAGGGTAATTAGTACGAATTAGGATCAACCATCAATGCAAACGCATATTTGGGGTTTCGAATCAGATAAACTCATAAAATCTAAGCAAGGTTTAGTTAAAACATTTGGCTTTCGATAAGTAGATCTGTGACTTGAAACTTGTTGGATGAATTTTTGGTTGGGTAGTCGGATAACATTATTAGCCGTCTCACAACTGTTATAATTTACGTAACAAGTATCAGTTATTTCTATTTCAAAAAAAGTTTAGAGTACTTACTTTACACTTCAAGCAACATTCTTAAACAAATAAAATACTTTTAGAAGTGCTGTTATTTTCTGCTACCTTTCCACCTGATCAATTTACGTTTGCTATCCTTACAATTTTTAAATTTTTTTGAGTACTATGTGTTAATTTCGGATGTATGACAAAGCTCATGCTAAGAGAACAGAAACTCGGTAATCTTTGACAGGACAGAGTCATTTTAGTACGGAATTTAGCAGTCAAAAATACGAAGACAATAACGACGGGAGTACAAAAATTTGAAAGTTAATTATTTTTCTGACCTAATTTGTGAAAAGAATGCAGGAAACAATAAACTGCATGCGTGGCTTACGAGATAGATATTCAAGAAAATGCCATTCAAGGTAACGGTTAAACAAAGATTATTCAGGTGTGCAATCTCGATAGACCAAACCATATAATGAAACAAAACAAAACCGAATTGTATTTCGAAAACAGTTCTAACCTTTCGACCAACAGCCCCATTTGCACGTTTTGGAGGAGGAGATTCAAAAATTCTTTGTTGAAGATTTGGTGGAAGGGTAGAGTAGAGAGGAATGCAACGGAGTTCACCAACGTCCGGGCCCAACCCATCTACTTCTCTCTGGATACGTTTGCATGCTTCCTCAATCTCCTCTTGTCCCGTCAGAAACAGTAATATGTCACCCTCGATCTCTTCGCACATATGAATCTGGATTACAGTACGGATAGCCGCTTCGAGATAATCACGTTCCGGTTCTGGAGTATAAAATATCTCCACTGGATGAGTTCTACCGGGCACGGTCATAAGAGGTGCTTTGTGAAAGTAATCCTGGGTCATTTCGAAAAGGGAAGAAGTAGATGGCTTCATCCAACTCCAAATAAAATGTGATACAACTAGGATACATTTAACTAAACAAATACTTTTAAGATCTATTCATCAAACGGATAAGAACTATGTACTAACTTGGAATTTTCCAGCGTCCAAAGTCGCACTCATGACAACTATTTTTAAATCTAATCTTTGCTTTGTGATTTCTTTAAGTAGACCCATTAAAATATCAGTAGCCAAAGTTCTTTCATGGGCTTCATCCAAGAGAATAACACCGTATGCCTCGAGCAAAGGATCAGACATGCCTTCACGTAAAAGCATACCATCAGTCATGTATCTAAAGCAATTATGGAAAAGTCTAAAAGTTACTTCATCACAGTCCTTGAGGACGTGCAATCCTCGAATCGAATACTGTATCCTACTTCTTGACCAAGTTCAACATCCATTTCCTCGGAAACACGCTGAGCAACAGACATAGCTGCTACCCTTCTAGGTTGAGTGCAGGCCACTGCCTTTTTGGTAGGATACCGTCCAGTTACCCATTCCAGGCACCACTGAGGAATTTGGGTCGTTTTTCCAGAACCTGTTTCACCAACTAAAACAGTGACTTGGTTCTCCGATAATGTCTGAAAAAAATTCTCTTTGTATTCCCAAACAGGTAATTTGATACGCTTCCTCAGAAGTTCGAAGTATTTGGCACTAAATGATTTGCCTGAAACAAGGTACAGATTAGAACAATTCGATGGACAGTATTTAGTATTTTTCGCCATTAGTACACAATTCATACTGGTCAACTGTATACATAAATTGAATCATAACATCAAAGACAACATGAAAAAATAAGATATAATTAAAATCAATATAAACATTTCCGTTAATCCATTTTTTCCTGAGTACCCGTAACGATGTCAGGAGTAAATGATAGTTAGGACCTTAGCTTCTAAGTACAAATTTGCCTTTAGGGGCGTAACATTAGTAATCTTGTGGAAACATGTATTTCTAAACGCTGTGAACTCGAAATGCACAATTGGCATAACTTGCAAGCATAAAGTATTTCTCTAAATTCTTATCCGCTAAAGAAACAGACTTAAAATTGTTTCTAACATTTTCAATGTAGCCATCATATTCGAAACACTAAGTCCCAATAAGAGAAAGATAAACTACAAAAGCCAGTCTTATAAATGCAGATCAAATGTAATTTATAATGGAAGTGCCTGGTTATAAGTAGGAACAAGTTAGAAAAAACGAACTATTAGTGCCCCTTTATCCATTATTAGAAGGGATTTACAATCCGGCTAATTAACATAAGACGACAGTTTAAGATCAACAAACAGACTGAGATAAACTCAATTCCATTTGACTGATTTTGATCGCTTATCGTCCCAATTTATAAGAAACCACAAGAAATCCTGAGTCAGGTTCAAATTTTATTCCAGAAAGAGTATGCTATAAAGCCCACAACACAAATCGCTTATCGATTATATACCTCAAATATTTTGTTTGTAAGCATGTTATTTTACTCGAAAACTTCTGTTGAGTTGTACTGTATTTTGATAACAATTCATTTGACGATCTACGTCGACGATTTAGTCTCGCGACTTGTAATCGACCTGCCACATCGTATTATCGCCAACCAACCATTGAACAGTTTTTTATCTAGTTTAACGACTGCCCCGGGACAACCGAGAGTAAGGAGAGCCGGCTCTCCCTCTCGAAATGCTCTCAAATGGCCACGTGCATACAACCACTGCCAGGGAAGTCCTACTCACTGTCTTCTCGTGGCGGGGGTGCTGGTTACGAAATCGAGAGGACGAAAAGCGAATGTCCGGCGCTTTAACTGGGTTGGTGGACATGAAGAGTCCACCTAGGGGAGTTGGAAAACCCTGATTCCAAACCAATGGTACACATGGGCCCCAGTATCCTGCAGGAACAAATGGCGTATGAACCTACTGTTGATCACCGGCCACCATGGGACTGCATCTCCTTACGTTGCTCCACTGCCTTGTAGAGCAGACCTTTAGGTCGAAGGCTCGAGGAGTGGCCCCCTAAGAAAACCACCTGCTTCGGTGTAGGCACCCGGGCAGTATCACAGCTCTCACACATATCGAATGAGATTTGTGTGGTGCATATGTATTCGGTGCCTCCTTGTACCAATGTTTATGTTTAAATAAATAAATGACTGCGAAATGTGCACCATCATTCATTAAAACTTAGAACAGTAGTTTCCTAACATCTCATTATGGATCTCTATAAAATACTCATTGAGTGCAGTAGAGCTGTGGAGTGACGTTGGTAGTGAAATATTAGGTAGATGTGGTAGACCACTAGAATGTTTTGACTTTTATCTGAAGTAGCTGGATGTTGAGCACGCCCATTCACTGGCTACCGTGACATGCAGTGAAAGCTTATTATTATTTATTTATTTTAATACACAGATATTGGTACAAGGAGGCACCAAAGACATATGCGCCACACAAATCATTTGATATGTGTGAGGGCTGTGATACTGCCCAGGCGTCCAAACCGAAGCAAGTGGTTTTTTTAGGGAGGCACCAAGGGGCCACACTCGAAGCCTTCGACCTGAAGGTCTGATCCACAAGGCAGTGGAGCAACGCCAGGAAATGCAGTCCCATTGTAGTCGGTGACCAACGATTGGTTCATACGCCATTTGTTCCTGCAGGATACTGGGGCCCATGTGTACCATTGGTTTGGAATCAGGGTTTTCCAACTCCCCTAGGTGGACTCTTCATGTCCACCAACCCAGTTAAAGCGCCGGACATTCGCTTTTCGTCCTCTCGATTTCATAACCAGCACCCCCGCCACGAGAAGACAGTGAGTAGGACTTCCCTGGCAGTGGTTGTATGCACGTGGCCATTTGAGAGCATTTCGAGAGGGAGAGCTGGTTCTCCTCACTCTCGGCCGTACCAGGGTATTTGGGGGCACAGTGAAGGCTAGGATAGAACCAGGCTTGAAAAGCTAGGGCCAGTAAAGCAAAGTCACCGACTTTCAGTCGGACATATTTCGAAGATTGAAGACTTCTTATATGAGACTTGCACGATAATCGTCATATATAATTGAAGGCATTTCAGTAAAATTTAATAAAAGGGGAACTGATCAAGTTAAAGAGTCAACCTAATATAACCAGGAAGTGAGTGGTCTTCATGAACTACATTTCCAAGCTTGGTGTCATCACCAGATTTCCACAAAGTACAAGTACTATTGAATTAACAAAAATGACCACTAATCACAATATCAGATCAACGCTGTCAACTATCGTATTAACATATTTCAAAAAAAAAGACGAAACTGACCGTTGTAAGGATTTGTTTGTGCTGTGAATGGAGACTTATTTGAAGCATTCTGTTTAAGTTTGACGTGATTATCTGGGGAGCGTGAGCGATCACGTGCATGATTATCCGGTCCATCAGAAAACCTGTGACAATAATACAGTAATAATGCGAAATAAGATGAGAATATATCGATGAGACAGGTACTAACAAAAAGCGAAACACGTAAACTTGATACCTCCGCTACATTGCTTGTGCAAACTGTTTACTGAATTCAAAAAAGATACAGAAGCCTATTCGTCTTCAATACAATGATGCGAGAAATTTATAGTGAATACATTTGCTGAAAAACTACAAAAGAGCTAAGTAGTGATTGTAAACGATGATTACTAACATTATGAATGAAAACCCCAACCACAAATAAGATCTTATTGATGTAGTGTTGAGCGCATTAAAAACGGAGAAAATCACATTCTTTACAAAAAGCTACCAAATATGAATATTTGACACCAAGATACAATTATGAACTGGGTTATAAAATTACTTAACTAAGTACGACAGGGGAAACTAGTTTACTTTCTGATCTAATAAAAAGTGCACTTGAATAAAGGCTTTGCTTGCTGCAAAGGACAAAGATTTACCAGACTGCTTGAAGCGTAGATGGTGCTGTGTAGTTTAAGTACATAAAAAACAAGCAAAATGTAACCCTAAACAAAAAAAAGCTTGATAAAAAATGTTTTAAATCTACTCATTGTTTATGAAACTTATTTTCGAAATCAGCCTCGTGAACGACAAGAACTTAATATTGCATATCATATTACATTTTCAACACCTCAGACTTATCGCCTATCTAGAGTCCAGACAATGAGCAAAACTTTACGTTTCTAACACGTGGCAGCGTTATAAATTTTTTTATTGATCCTCAAACATGATGGCAGATACCAGACATGGTCCATAGTATTAAACTATCAATCGATCATTTACTACGTACGTCATGTGCTCAGCTTTGAGATACATCTTTATCTTAATGATACCATTCAGCTGCACAAGCCAGAATAGATAGGACGAATTTGAACCCAAAAGCTACTCATTAGGGACATGATGCTTTAACCATTGAACGACCACCAACAACAAATTAAATATTTTTACATGATTACCTAATAAGAATTTTATATCTCCAGAGGGTCATCGCCTTTAGTAAGAACTGACGACTTTTATCTGGGTTGAAAATCATATACAGAAATACTAAACACAGGGTTCGATGGTGTTAAGTTGGAGGATCTCGTGTACCTACCCCAAGATAAAGAGTGACCCTCTCATATGACAATAGTGATTTTACGTTTAACACCAGACGAGGATAATTAAGTGCCGACCTTCAGGACTCTGATCCCTGTATGGTGGCGATGGATTTCATGTCCGTTTATCATTGCCATAGGGTTACCAAGCATTGGGTCGTCAGAAGTCTCAAAGAAAAATACTAATGTGAGACTAAAATTTCTATTGATGCCTACAACTTGAAATGTTATGGAACAGAACTTAAAAACTGGTCAGTGCCGTCACCTCTATTTTCTACAAGATACTAAGTTATCATACTCTATTATTTTACACAAGATTTTCTGTTTTCTTTCGCAGCCGTACTTTTGAAACTATGTTAACAGACAGTGAAGTCTTACCACAGCTACAAAGTACTTAATAAGTACTCATTCACCGTACTTATATCCCTATAACTCGTTTAACCTGTCCAGTGAGTGTAGGCAGCCAGAATAATCGCTTCAAAATAACTAGCCCAAATTACTCCAAACGACCCTGACTAGCAGCTTCGCAGGATTAACCGTGCATAAGATTGAACGAGAAACATGGGACGAAGTGCATGAAAAATATGGGGCTACATCTATTTGTAGTCACACGTTACGACAAATCTGGTGGATGACTACTGATCTGAGGGTCAATTCATAAGAGTAGTATGAAACGAATAAAGCATAACTCAATTAGATATAAAATCCTGGACGTTTTCAGTAATTACCTTGACCGTCTGGGCTTAGATTCACCGATATCAATCCTATGCCTTGACGACATCACACTAGTAAAGTACGAAAGCGCGGGAAACCCAGCCTGTTTAATAAAACAACATCAATTTTCTTTTTGAAAAAGAAAACCCATAATCTGGAAATCACGTCTTCAGAAGGAACAAAGAGCTTATATTCAAACAAACAGTTTTCTTGTCAGCTAGTTCTGGAACAGGTAAAAGTTTCCCCTCGATGTTTTGTTTCAGGTTCAGATTTGTGTAGTAAGGACGGAAGGACTACGGCCTATGTTATTCAATTTGTAGCAGTTTCGTGAGTGTTTGTTCTTCGGTAGAATGAGTCAGTTGAAGGTGCGGACAACTCTGATCCGGGTAACATGTTCCATGAACTGATGACTCGTGTGAAAACCTGTATACCACAGGAATTTTGTCCGTTCTTCACTCTCCTACTCGCCTGTTATGTCCTCTGAAATGTCCCGATCTAGTGGGAAGAAAAGAGGATGTTAGGTCCAAAATCACTTCTTAGTATTCAATACATAGAAATCAGACCATATCTTAATTTCGCTCTAGGACAAAGTAAAGAGGTCTAGCTTTTCCAGCATCTCCTCATATGGTAAACTCGGAAGTTCCGGAAATCCAAGGGTTGCTGCCCTCTCTACGTTCTCTAGGATATCCCAGTCATCTTTCAAACAGGGGCTTGCAGCCTGAACGCAATTTTAAAGATTGTTTCTCACCAGGGTTGCGTAAACTGTAGTGAATATAGTAGTATCAAACTTGGTGAATGTCCGTCTTAAAGCCAATGGGGTTATAAACCTCTTGGCTGCAACCTCTCAGCAGTGAGCCGTGGCTTTAAGATATTGACTCACTGTCACGCTAAGATCATTGTGGGACCGAATTACGAGTACTGGGATTTCCCCTATGCTGTACTTATTTAATGTCGTATCCTCAATGTGCATGTTGGCACATTGTTCGAGCTGATAGGTATCAGCCACTTTATTTAGACCAGCTAATCAGAATATTTAGGTCTGCTCAAAGTGCACAAGCATGTGTCTGCTGCTGTCTCTTGCCGGGGTTTTACATCAACAGGGTATATTAATATTGGAGACTGTACTATAATTGGTAGTTTATTTACATACAGTACGTAGTGGATCTAGGACAGAACCTCTCTGTACTCCACTAAATACTGATTTCCGGGTGGACCACATCGAATTTATTCTTACTTTCTGTCTAAGACCTACCAGCAAATCATTAAGCGATTTCAGGAGATGTCTGGCAATGCCTGGAATTTCTAGCCTCAAGAGCAGTCTACGTTTTGGCACCTTATCAAATGTCTGTGTAGACAACATCCACTGATCTTCCATTATCTAGAACTTCTATTCATTTCTCTCTTGTTGCAGAGGAGTTATTGTGCAAGATAAACCTAGTAAGATAAACGTAGTACTATGCAAACGACCCAACATGAACTCAACATGGTAGACAACTGACGCAAACGCTAGGGTTTAGGGATGAACACATAAAAATTCGGTTGGTTATGTATAGGAGACATGTCTCTTAAAATAAAACTAGCACTTAGCAAGAACACATTGCTCAGATTGACATAAGTAACTGACCTAGGCGTACATTACTCACACAGTCTCAACTTCTGTGAACATGTCTCAACTAAAGCATCTAAAATGAGAAAATTGCTTGGCTTCATTCTTCATGATTTTCTTCAGAATGAGTCTAAAATCATTCTTTATAAAGTCTGTGTAAGACTTATTGTTTAATAATGCTTGTTCTTATTTTCAAACCTACACTTATCCGATATACTTAAGGTGGAAGTAATAGAACTATATTTCGCTCGCAAAATACTTAAGAACGACTCATTCATTGAATATAGTTCCTGATGCCATTTCTTAGGATTTGAACCCCTTTGGAAAAGAAGGCTTAGGTCCAATTTGATTCTCTATCTCGAACTCCTCAAAGACCTTATTAATTCCACATGCAATATAGCTCTTGCGAAAGACATACGTGAATACAACCTTCGAGACAAAGTATCCACGATCAAATTGACAAATACACATCAAAAACTCGGAAAAACTTCTTCCTCATCAAGTATGCATCAATATGGAACAGTTGTAGTGGCATTGAACAATAGCCACACAATCCACAAAGCTGTGAACACGAGACTACTCAGAAAATAGATATTCAATATTTAACTCGGGGAAATACCTAACAATGGAGAAGGCGCGAAGAATGAATTGAATGGGCTGGGGTTGATCGAGTGGCATGGCTCGGCCATGCAGGCGTGGTCTCTGCTGAATGTTACCTTATATCTTCTATTCATATTAAATATATTGTTCTTTCTCTAGCCTAACCTTGTTCTACATCATGTATTGGTAATTGATACGATACAGTGAGTTGGTGTAGTCGATGGTGTGACTTCCACGTAAGATCTTATAGATTAGGCAGTTATATCATGACAAATCTACGAATTTAGGATTAGGTCTATTATTAGAGCAGCACTAATATCATAGTAGACCATAATTCTACACAGTCTCTTCTCTGAAATACGCATGGCAGATGAATTACATACGTTTGTAAGACGTGTTGACCAAGCCCTCACTTTCACAGATCTAGCACAAACGAACACATATGCCAACGACACTGACATTGTAGGATCTCTACATGTATAGACCAAATTGCCTTATTTTCTACTTTGTAGTCGTATTAGATACTTTTTCTTCCCTAATTTTTTACGTGAAGTATAAAGGTAACTCACTGGACCTATCAACATTCGGTCTCTAAGAGACGCTCACTACTACCCTGAAAAGTCGAAAGAACCGCACAATCGCCTACCTACTACTAATGGCTTTGCACCTGTGGAACCTGTTACCCATCTACCGGTTAGGATAGAACAAAATAGCACCAACACCAAGTTAATCTGAATTCCTTCTTGTTTATTCTTTATCAGATTTTCACTCTCCAGTACACTATGTTGGCTTGCCATTAATATTATTTCACCACTCCAAATCTTACCTATAACTTTTCCACCTACTTTGGTAAACAACTGTCCCACAAGATACCCTTCTTATAACCTTAACTCTGATTGGCAACCTAAAAGTTATACTATGGTCAGTCAAAGCATTGCATCGATGACTTACACACAGTCCATAATTTGTAACTGCCTGATAAGCTTGTAAAATGGTACTAGTAAAAATAGTGTTTTTCAACAGGATGTGAAACACAGAGCATCGTGTGAGGTGTGATATAATAAAAAAATCTTAAATGAGCCTGACATCCCAAAAGCAGGGAGGGTGGAGTTACTGACCATCAAGCATTGATGGTGAGGGTGATTACTTCAATTCACCCCTGTTTGTGGGATAGAACATTTTGTTTGTATCAGGCTCTTTACGTTTAAGAACACGACAATCAATCTGTGATATTGAGGTTGTTCTCCTACGCTCATCATTCAGAATCATGTCTCCAATGTTATGCTGGATTAACTATTTATTAAGACTACCTATAACATGCTAACTCGGACGTTTACATTAAGACTGTGTGGCAGGCATTGGATGAAAAAAAAAATCAGACAATAAAAGATATAGTTATTAGTTTTCTTAACATTTTACCCTCTATTTGCACTTTCTGTTCTAATAAACAGCCTTATATATTCCAGACCTGATTTCCCTTCCTTCATTTGAACTTACTCCACCTTCGTAAATATCACAACTCATCGTTCTTTATTACTGCATTCTCTCATCTGGAGCCTCTGATCACATTTAATTTAAAAATTTATCATACTTCTGTCTGTCCCACGACAAAATGTCAAGTATTGTTTATCGTTCATGTCCAAGTGCCTTGTTGCTCCTCGGTTTCTCTTTTTACTTACAGAATCATGCTCCGAGGGTACAGCTATGGAAAGTCTGACATCTGGAACAAACTGGACGTACGTGGTTGTTCCAAGGTCATAGTTCACACCAAGTGCTCTAAAAGTCTACTCTATGACAACTATAAACTTAAAAAGTTGCGTTGCATAAATACTTAGCACGATCAAAATACTAACATAATAATGTGGAGATTGGATCTCGTGTGTAACGTGTACGCAATGCCACTTTGGAGAATATTTTGAAGATTACTCAGAATATCTAAAGGAATGAACTGATATTCGCTTTTATAGACTATATTTATCTAACATGCATACTGTGAAACAATAAATGTTGTCGTTTGATGATGTCACAGGTATTCAGTGTTTGACAACGCTTCTACCAGTAACACCTAATATATTTCGTTCCCGCCCAGAGAAATCAAAAGACGGAGTCGAGGAGATCGGAAGAGTATATTTGGCGATGATCAATATATCGGAATTCTCTGATCTAATCTGGCTAGCGATTGCGGTTGATGTTGAGCACGGCGTTACCACACGTGATCTGGTGCGGATGCCTGACCGAGCGCCTTCAGCTAGATGAGTCCACTAAAACATATGGTCAGCATCCAATGTCGAAAACTCACAGAGCTATTTATTTTGGGGATTTATTTACCGCTACACGTTTATAGATCATGTCTGTAAAAAAGGCATGTACTTGCCATTGCAGAAATATATATTATTTGTAAAGACTGAGATAAGAATTTCATAAAAGAGAGGTATTAATTTCCAGTGGCTTTTAAATTTTTAAAGGCCTTGAACGTTTTCATCATTAGACTTCATATCATCAACGAGTATTAATAAAATGATAATACAATCTACTAACCTGCTCTTGAGAAAAAGATGAAAAACGTTTTACTAGCATTAAAATTTCACTCATTGAGCTGAAAACCATCGCGAAAAGGTAAAGACAGAGTTTGGATGAGGGTTAGTTTTCCATTTGAAGAATGGTAAGAAGATTGAAGTATATAAAAAAAATTTAGTGATCAAAAGCGTCAGAAGGAGCATCATATTGCTAATTTAATTGTTCCGGTGTTAATAGATTAATGGTAGCTACGACAATATTCCTTGTACTGGAATTTATAAATTTGTAGTATCTTTTAAAACCACTATTTTAACAGTCCGACACTGAACCACACTGTGAACTTGCGTTTAGTTAAACACG